CTAGATTCCACATATATGTGTTAATATATGTTATTTGTTTTTCTCTTTCTGACTTACTTCATACTGTATGACAGTCTTCAGATCCATCCACATCTCTGCAAATGGCACAATTTTGTTCCTTTTTATCGGTGAGGAGTATTCCATTGTATAGGGGTGAAAAAGACGAACTAGGATTTTGAAGGAAGAATGCATGAGAGAAGTCATCCATGTAGAAAACTAACTGGATTTGGGAAGCAAAGGAGAGAGAATAGTGAGGCCTCCAGGATGAGGAGGACAACATCAGGACCATGTAGGTCACACAGAGGAGAAACAGAAGAGGCAGATTTGAGAGGAAAGATGAACCCACCTCAGAATTTTGAGGGGAAGGAGGGCTTACCCAAATAGCCATGTCTACAAAACAAGAGGGAACACAAAGTGACAGATGAGGAGTGAGGGCTGGGCCAAACAAAGCTTTGAAAGTTATCTTCATAGATGTCATACCCAAAGTCAAGAGTCTATTAAAGGAGAGAATGCAGACAGAAAACCAGTCCATCAAGGGGCAGATCCAGGCTCACTCAGGATTCATCCTCAATCGCGGCCACATTTATCTTCCTAAAACACTTGGACTTTTTAGCACACATACAAAATGAAATCTAGATTCTAGCTGTTCAGAAACTCTTCAGAAATGTTGCTATCAACACCTATGCAATTCTTCTCACTTGCCACTTTTGCATGGAACCTTTAGTCCTGTTGGAGCATCCCACTAATGTTACTCATCAAAATATCCCTCCAGTGAGAATGAGCCCTCCACTAACATCCAAAAATAACCTGGCAGTCACCGACTGCCTGGTTTTGCGAGTCATCTTTCTGTTGTGGTGGTTGTTCAGTTGCTCAGTCGTGTCCAGCTCTCTGTGACCCCATGGATGCAGCACACCAGGCTTCCCTGTCCTACGCTATCTCCCAGAGTTTGCTCATGTCCAATGAGTCAATGATGCTATCCAATCATCTCATCCTCTGTCGCCCCCTTCTCCTCCTGCCCTCAATCATCTTCTTAGGTATATAAATTTTACCCCTATGTAGGACAGCAGATCATCTATGCAGTGTATCCGGGTCAGCAAACTTTCCTGTAGAGGGTGAGAATACTAAGTATCTTAGGCTTCACAGTCCTAATGGTCTGTCACAACTACTCAACTCAGCCACTGTGGTGCAAAAGCAAGCACAACATATAAACAAACGAGCCTGGGTGTGTTTCAATACAACTTTATTATTTATGGACACTGAAATTTAAATTTCATGTAACTTTCACTTGTCATGAAATCCTATTCTTTTGGTTCTTTTTTCCCCAGTCACCTGAAAATGTAAAACTCATGCTTAGCTTGCAGGCCACATAGAAACAAGCAGCAGGGCACAGACGGCTTCTGGACTTACAGTGGCGATCATTTCATAATGTATGCAAATAGCAAATGACAATGTAGGACACCTGAAACTAACATAGTATTGTATATCAATCATACTTCACTTAAAAAAAAAAAACAGAAATTAAGAAAACAGGCAGCAGGCCATATTTAGCTCTCAAGCATGGTTTGCTGATTCCTGCACTATAACATAATTATTTTTGCCCAACAAAATATCTTCTTTCCATTAAATGTTTACCCATTAAATGTTTGATTTACCTATGGAGGGAGAGGCCCTCATTATTTTTCTTTAGTTAATATTAACATCTTACATTTAACATGTAAAATCTCATTCACTACAAATGACAGGTAAGCTATCCCAATATTCAAATAGAAACTGAGGATCCCTAGTGAGAGACAGAGATCAAATCCAACACTAGGTTTTAATGATTCTGTCGGTGTCTGACATTGTCACATGCTGATATGAGAGGAAAATAGCTGCCATGATGAGGATACACAGAGATGGAAGGAGCATAAGGATTAAATACCTTGATTTAAATACCAAATGTATTTTTATTTAAGGAATTTATATAATTTTATCCAAATTTCAAAATTCTCCAAAAAAGATTTTACACTTTCCATTATACATATATAGTACTTAAGAACAGATTAGCAAACACAGACTTTATCACATTTTATAAAACATTTTAAATGATTCTGAAACAGCACTGCTATAAGGTATGCTTTCTGAAAAATTTACAGTCCACAAAACATTTAACACAACCTCTCACTTTTACCAAACAAGTAAAAATAATGCCTACTTACTAATAAATAATAAAGTAACACAGAGCTTTCCAGCTTTCACCTCAAGACGAAAAATTAGAAGAAATGTCATTTCAGGTTAAGCTTACAATGCTCCAAAGAGAGAATATGAACATCTCAGTAGCACTTAAGACATAATATAGGTTAATAAAAAAGCAGCAGCAATATATGGAATAAAGCTCTTCTATATCACCTCATTTTTTTTAAGACACCAAAAGAACACCTTAAACTTTTCCCCCACCAAAATACTCATATCTTTTTCTATTACAGAAATATCTGTAATCTTTTTGACCACAATAAAAACCTCAAGTCTTACAGTTGAAAGTACAAGTCAACGGATAAGGCCTTAGAGAGAAGAAAAAGAAATCCAGTGTCTCTACCAACCAGGATACCAACTCAGGGGCCCTATCAACATATGAGGTCAGGCTAAGGCTCAGGAAGGACAACCACAGAGAAAAATGTTTTCTCCTTGCTCCTTTCAACCAGCAGGATCAACTCTGTGCTCCCAGATTCAACCCATCTGAGGTTCTGCTTCACTTATCACCACCAGCACCAGTCTCAGGAGCTAAGCCTTCGATGTTACACACTGGACATTGTTCATATGTTTAATATGCTCTGAGTATCTCTTAAATTTGCACCCATTCATCTGTGACTAAAGTATAAATGGCAACCTGGAGGCAGGTAAAGGGTCCCTGAACCCCAACTCCTCTCCTGCCTCCAGTACCTCTATTTTGTCACTATCCTGCTTCCATTTGGGGGGAGTACCTCCCCTTCAGCTGCCTGCCTGTGCCCTACTCTACCTCTGTTTCACTCTCTGGTTGCGCAGTCACAGAACTGACGATAACAAAGAGAAATCATAATGTTAAACCGCTAGGGGAAAAGAACCTTCTCAAGATCACTGACTCTGAGCCAAGTGCCTTCTTTATGTTCTCATCTAACCCTCACATGAGCCTGATGGGGTACTAGTATCCCAATTTTTCAGATGAGAAAAATAGACTGAAAGATTAAGGAAACTGCCTAACCACTAGACTAGCCAACCACGCCAATTCGCCTAAGACCGAAAGGGTTCCTGGGATGTGAGACTTTACACTGAAAACTGGGCAATGCTGATCTCCCTACGAAGGACAAAAAGCCCTTTCACAGGTTCAGATTTGAGCCAGGCCAGCTGGGCTTCTAAACCTATGCACTTTCTCTCAGAACTCCTCTGCCAAACAAACTCCCTCTCTAACCTCAGAAGTCCTATTATTTTCCTCCCCCAGAGGTTCCTGGGCCTAACTTAATTCTGATGGAAAATATTTAGCCTCTTATTCTACCTTTTTCTTTGCAATGTATGCAGATCTTTCTTAACTCCCTAATACAGCGCATCTGAAAGACAACCATTCCCAGCTTGAACGGGACAATGAAAAATTAAAGCTAAGATTAAAAGGCAAGAGAGCCTACAGAGGACTGATGCCTTTTCAACTCTATTTCTCCTTTACTATCATTGGCAGTAAAATCCCTTTGGGGATGGGGAGATGGGCCAGAGATTACGTTATGCTATGCTACACCACTTCAGTCGTGTCCGACTCTTTTGCGACCCCATGGACTATGGCCCACCAGCCTGCTCTGTCCATGGGATTCTCTAGGCATGAATGCTGGAGTGGGTTGCCATGTCCTTCTCTAGGGGATCTTCCTGACCCAGGGATCGATCCCATCTCTCATTATGTCTCCTGCATTGGAAGGTGGGTTCTTTACCACTAGCACCACCAGGGAAGCCCCTAGATTGGGGAACCAAAAGCTAAATTGTTCATGTGTGAAGGATGTGGGTGTGGGAATGAAGTAAGCCTATTTTTTTTCCCCTCACAGTGGACTGAGGTAAAGATGAACATCCTAATTTAAAGCAAAAAAGAAATAAATAATAAACCCAGTATAAGGAAGGCAGAGTAGTTCCCCGAGACCACCTGTTTTAAGGGACTGTGTGAGCAGGTGGCTGAGCATCAGTCACAGTGAAGAAGTGTGTCTAAGGTTTACACTACCAGAAGGCCTCAGCCCTGTCACTGAAGCCTTATTCTCCAATGCCTCCATTCCAATCCCTGAGAATCCCAGGCGTGGCCTTGAGTTTACTACCTTCTCCACTTTTTCTGTGTTACCCAGTCTCAGAAGCCACCAATGAGACTTAAGACTTGAAAGACCAAGAATGTGGTCTGGCAACCCAATGAGGAACCAAGTACAAACTACAGAATGTTTCTGCAGGAAAACATAATTTTCTAAACAACTCAACGTCATCCGGAAACTACCATAACAAAACTGCATGCAAGAGAATACCTAGGTACTTCCTCAAAGGCAACGGGGGTTTTACTTCCACAATACCTAGGGCAGTACTCAAATGAATGTTTAACAAATAATATTTACTAAATTCCCATGCTTGAGAAATTTCACTATTTTTCCTCTGGCCTTACTTCACGAACTCCCAACACGTGAGACCCAGCCCATAAGTCGGATCTACTTGCAGGCTACTCAATGTGGGCTCCACTGACTAGCCGCAAGTGCATCACCGGAGACCTGACCAAATCAGAACCTTTACTTGGGGGAAAAACAAACAAACAAACCAGCCCAGGTAAATCTCACGCACAATAAAGTTTGAGAAACACTGCCTTAGAAGTTTGCTATATACAAATCCTTCCAATCCCCAACTCCCATCTTCACATCAGCGTGAGAAAAGATGAAGCGCACGCCCTGCACCGGGCCAGCAATTAACCCACGAAGGGGCTAGCCCACATGTCTTCCCGGGATAACCTTCCTCCCGACAGTCTCCCATCCGCTCACCTTGATACGCTCCCCATCAATCTCCACCGCTCGTTCTCGGAAATCCACCCCGATCGTAGCCTCGGTGCGGTCGGGGAAGCGGCCGGCGCAGAAGCGGTAGGTCAGGCACGTCTTGCCCACATTGGAGTCGCCAATCACGATTATCTTGAAGATGCGGGAGCGAGCCGGTGGCAGAAACCCTGAGCCCCCTGACACTGCACCGCTGGATGAGAAGCTCGCCTCGAGCGACGACTCTATGTCCGAAGCCATTCTCCGGACCCGCCCCAAACTGAGGCGGAGGGAAGGAGAGGCTGAGAGGCTGCGAGATTACGCCACCGCCACCCAGCGCGCCCAGCCCGCGGCTTGCGCTGCTCAGCGTCCCCGGAGCCACCGCCCTCCCGCAGGCAGCGCGCGTGCGCACCTTCCCGCCGGCCTCCGCCCGCGCAGGTGTGGTGCCCACCGGTCCAGGCTCGCTGACCCTTCCGCGCGGCCTACGCCTCCACCGCAGCGTCAGTTAGGCCGGAGCCCGTCTACCCGCGAAGGCACTGGGCCTGTCGGGGGCTTGTCGGGGGCTTGTCGGTGGCGCGGAAGGCCGGCTGCTGAGAAGCCGAGCAGACAGCCCCGGGCCCGGTACCCTGGCTGGCCCGGCCCCGCCACGTCCAAGGCTCCCGCCCCCGGGAGGAAGCCGCGCGAGCACTCTGGGGGCGGGGAGAGAAAGCTGAAAGGAAGGAGGTACCGCCAGGCACTCTCTCGCGAGAGGGCGGGAGACCCGCTTCGACGCAGCCGTGGGCCGGACAAGGACGTGTGAGGTCTCCGGAAGGTTCGGCGCTACCCTCGGCTTCTTGTTTGGGCTCCCCGGACTTGGAAGTGGAGGCGGGTCCTCTCGGCTTTGCAGCTGGGGGCCGCGGAGGCGGCCGCGTTCCCTGCTTCTTTCGGACGCTCGGGGTCGGGGGAAATGAGACAGCGACCAGGGCTGAGGGGCGCGAGGCGCCGCCAGAAGCCCGCTGGGCGCGGGAAACCCTTAGAGACGAGCTCCAGGCCGCGCGGAACTTGAGTCTGGGCAGGAGCAGGGTTGTCAGTGAGCAGGCGGGAGTTCGAGGCCGCCCGCCGCCTTCGCGCGGAGAATTTCGTTAGGCGTCGAAGCAGTGTTCCGATATCCGCGGGACTCAAGTGCCCAAGTCCGGCGACCCAAGAGAAGATCACAGGAGGGCCGGTTGGTGGCCTTGAACCCAGGAGCTGGTACTAGATGGCCTCTCTCATGAGAGTATAACCCACTGTGCCCAAGTTATGTCTTCTGCCTGGGTGACGATGATGTAGCCGTTGAATATTACGGAGCACACACAGTTGTCTTCAGCCATATATCTCAGGAAAATGTTAATAGACGAGATCACCCAGCCTTAAAGAGGATTCTCTGGATCACTGAGAGTTTTCCGAGGAAACCTACCATACACTAAGTCATAGAAAAGTTCCAAAATGTGCAAAAATATTGCTTTTTGTGAGGAGTTTTGTTTTCTGATAACAAGACTGGAGTTTGGGGGGTTTTCTGTTCGATCGCATAGTTTGGAAATTCAGGGACTCTGGCGAGGAGGACATGAGTTCTCCTTAAATAGAATGAGGGGAACGACAGAGAACCAGAAGCCCTAGGAAAGGAGATAAACTGCTTATTTCAGTCCATAAAATGGAAATGTGGTCAGAGCAAACTAGTAGTAAAAGCTGAGCATGCGAGCTGCAGCAATTTGCAAACGCCTTTAATAGACAATAATTTCTGTTGCAGTAGAAAAACTTTATACAGTTACTGATATACCAAGTTATGTTAGCCAGGGGGAAGAAGGTTATACACCTGGTTGAACGCGTGTACCAGGTGAGTAAATTACACTTATCCGTTTCCTGTTAGAGAAACCAGAACATGGCCTGGAAAATCCTAATTGTTTACCTGTGACTTTAGTTCCATAAAGATAAATCCTAGAGACTATTAGAGAACCTTGGAAATATGCCTCTAATCTACTCTACTTATCCCATTTAAAGGATAGCATCTGAAGATTTAATAACAAAAAACAGTTGAAGAATTCAAAGCTGGATAACCAGGTAATTTTAAAGGATGGTGAAAAAGCATCAGTGTGTTTGCACCACAAGACCCTTGCTCTGTATTTTTTGTATTCTGATTTTTTTGGCTTGGTCTTTTTCTTGTCTGTTTCTTTAGATCCTGTTCACATTTCATATCCTAGTTCAAAAGTCTCATCTCTGAGAAGCTACTCCTGATTACTTCAGCTCAGAATCTTCTTGATTTATTCTAAATCTAGTACACTTGGGGTATTGCTCTTTGGTCTCAACAATACTGTCTTCGCTGTTTGTTTCATGGTTACGTGTTGTGCCTTCCAACTAGATTGTCAGCTCTTGACTATGGATGGAGAGCTCGTTGTTACTCAGCAAATGATGAATAAATGAGTTTAGGGAGAAATTTCTTGTGTAAGCATTGTCAGTTTGCACCCTTTACCAGTTATACACAGTTCAGCACCACTTAGATGGGAAAATCACTGTAGGCCCTTGACATTGTTACAAAGAGTTTTGTATTTCCAGCCTGCAATTTGAGAGATTGCTTATGTGAGTAAAGTGTATGTCACTGTTTTTTTTATTGAATAATCCCAGAACCTCCAGGTTTGACTCTTGAAGAAGATGCTACTGTTGGGAAGAGTGGATGGATTATGCAGCCCTGTTTTCTGAGAATTCATTTGTTCTTGGAGTTTTTCACTGCTTGCTACCACTACCACTTGGCCTGAAAGTATAAGCATGTGACCCTTCCTTTCCTTCATATTTTACTACACAGCTGAGAAGAGACCGAATTTGGATCCTTTAGTGGTACAACTGGAATATTATACATAGTTTAGGGCAAGGAGGCTTATTTAAAAGTATTTTTCTAATAGAAAAAAGCTGGATATGAAAAACAAAATAAGGGTAATCTTATGTACAAAATACAACTACTTATGGTCAACTTTTATTTATTAAGAGATGCATCCACCCTGTGGCAGAGGCCATTTTTTAACTGGTCTTAACCAAGGAGTAGCTCCTAGAAAACTTCACTCTTTTTTAAGTTCAGACCTGAGTACAGAGGACAAGAGAGAGTTTACCTGCTTGCCTCTATTGGCATTACTGACATTTGTGCCAGATAATTGTTTTTTTGTAAATTTTTTGAAGTATGGTTGATTTATAGTATTAAGTTAGTTTCAAGAATATAGCATAGTGATTTAGTACTTTTGCAGATTAAACTCTATTATAGGTTATTACAAGATAATGGCTATATTTCACTGTGCTATACAGTATATCCTTACTGTTTATTTTATTTGTTTGTTTTTTTTTCACAGTGATTCCTTTTATTATCTAATTCTTTTCCATTCAATACTAGTGCTGTGTAAGTTCATGTTTTCAAAACAGTTCTAATTTCGATTCCATTGTATTCTGTTCAAGACCACAAAAAAAATGGAAAACTTCCCAATCTTTTACGAAACAGCAAAACTCTTGTTTTTGAACTGGGTAACCACAAATACACTCGGACAATATCATTAACAAAGCTAATGCAGTTTCTTCAGCCTTCTATGAAACCAAGCTTTGAAAAATTTCTAAAGAAAACAGAGACGAATCCCCATGTCATCACAGAGAACAGGAACCGAAAGATGCTACACACTGGTTCCCTCAACTGGCCTGGGCCCTCTCTTCTGAGAAGGCTGACTACCCCCTCTTCAATCACAGAGGGAAGGATCAATCTGGCTGCTGCTCTGGCTTAGGCCTCCTATTCCTCCTCCCCCGCATCCTCTGCAGACAGGAATGGGAATGCCCTCAAAGCCCTTTCGGTGATCCTGAGGAGAAATGCCATGACGTGCCACTTGCTGGTCTCCACATAGGCCCGGGGACCCCACAGGAACTCATAGCAAGCAGGGTGGCTGTCAGGCACCTGCTGGTACCTCAGGTATCCCTCCTTATAAACATAGTAATTTGTCCCTCACTTGTGCCTCCTCTCTTCCTTCTATCTTTTGGTAACCACAGGTTTGTTTTCCATATCTGTGAGTCTGTTTCTGTTTTGGATATACAGTCAGTTGTATTATTTGTTGGATTCCACATGTAAGTGATATCATGCAGTATTTGTCTGTAAGCCAGATAACTCCTTGTTGTGGGCAGCTGTCCTGGGCATTATAAGATGTTTAGTAGCATACCTGGCTTCTACCCACTTCCTGCCAGTAGTACCACACCCCTGCTTGTAACAATCCAAATCAACTCTAGACATTGCCAAATGCCCCTGAGGGGAATTATGTCCCTTTCCCACTTTTCACTGAGAATCACTGGCCTATATAAGGGCTTTTCTGCTAATTCTGGTTTCCTGTCCATCCCATTTGACAGCAGGAATCATCTGTCCCTTAAAGACAGAATTTCAGTTCGCCAGAGAAGTATAGCTTCGGTCTTGTTGGACTCCACCAGATTACCAAATCACTGGTTAATAGGTATCCCCAAATATTTGATGAGAGATGAGTGAATGAGTAAAGTCACTCAGTCGTGTCTGATTCTTCATGACCCCACGGACTGTAGCCTACGAGGATCCTCAGTCCATGGGATTTTCCAGGCAAGAATACTGGAGTGGATTGCCATTTCCTTCTCCAGGTTTATGAGAGATACTACATTATAAATAACAAGGATTTTAGTTTTAGCATCTAAGTAGCAAATTACCATCAACATTTTATAGGTAAATGTACTGAGTTTCAGAATTCTTCAAGTTATATATTCATAAATAGGATCATTGAGGGTTTATGAAATTTAACTATATAGCTCCACTGTGGTTGGGGCAGGGGAGAAGACTAGAAATTCTAGATGTGTTCAAGTGTGGCGGCAGACAAGGAGCTAAGTTAAAGGTGAGTGCGCCTGTGGCAGTGCCATTCTTCTTGATAAACTCAAATTATGAGTAAGCAAGACTTAAAAGTATTGGAGACATGCAAGATGCAGTCATGGTGGCCTTTGCTGTTTCCTTGATTTCATTCCCTTTCTCCCTCCTCACCTTTAGAATGTTTGATTATATAGCGTTCCCTGTATTTGATATAACAAAGGCAACTGATAATTCTGAAGATGATCTAAGTAACTAGGAGATTTAAAATTAAACTTTCTGTCTTGAAGATGTAGTTTTTTAATGTCCACATTTATAAACATTTATTTCTAAATAATTACACAGAAAAATCTCAATTTTAAGTTATACTGTTTGATACCAAAGCAGTAAAAACAAGCTATTCTTTCTTTTTTCTTTAAGTAGAAGGAAAAAAGAAAATTTATCTACTATACTTGGAAGCTAAGAGGAAAATCTAATTCTGGTTC